ATGCAGATACGTTATCACGTCCAAGTGCCCGTGGGCGGCCGCGCCAATCAGTGCCGACGAGGGCACGCTGCCCGCCGCCGGGCTTGACAAGAGCAGCGTGAGCATGTCGAGGCGACCGTACGCAGCAGCATACGTGAGCGCCGTCTCGGAGATCTCGATGGCGTTTTCAAAGTGCGTGACGAGGTACGCGAGCACGCCCACGTGGCCTCGCAGCACGGCAGCTTCGATATCGTACGCCTGAAACGAGAATTCGTCTCCGTACACCCGCCGTAAGTGGTCGGCGACGTTGACGTGGCCGTTTGCGAGCGCCAGGAGCAGTGCGTTGGAGGTGCAACCCTCGGACCGGTGGTCACCGAGCCACTGCACCAAGCGCAGGTCGCCAGCATACGCGGCGTGGTCCATGGCGTCCGTCGAGCACGCCATCGAACCGGCATCGTGGAGCAGCTTGAGAACGTTCACGTGACCGTAGTACGCGGCGACGTCCATTGCAAGGCCGTCGCAGCCATGCAGGTGCTGGATCTGGCTTAGATCGACGACGTCTGCACTGGATTGGAGGTGGCGAAGGAGCGCGACGTGACCGCCAGCAATCGCCGCGTGCGCAAGTGCCATGGGATGCGCCAGTAGCGTGGTAAGCTCGTCGAGCCACATGTGCTGCATCGGGACGTGGTCAATGTCGAGCACGCGCACCACGCTCGCATCGTGGCCGTCGGCATAGTCGACCCGGTACGCTACGTCATTGTAGTCGGTGCGGCACTTGATGCGCTCGTACATGCGGCGCGACGTGATGAGGCGAAGCGATTGGCAAAGACCTCTGTGCGGCGGGAGACGTGGCAGAGTCGCAAAGTCGCCGTCCCAGTCGCACCGAAAGACATCCTGCCACACGGCGAGCGCAGTGTCATCAGACAAGGTAGCCGGAAGGTAACCATGCAGGAGCTGCGTGAGCGGCCCGGCGTAGGCGGCGATGACATCATGGAGCACCTCGACGTCGTCCCAGCTCATCCCGCACTACAAACAACGACAGTGTGGCTCGCTTGAAAAATTCCACCAATCACAGCGATGTCTTCATGCTCATTTCAACCAATCCAAACGCCCTTATTGAAAAGAGTATAGTTAACGTGCTGTTAAATTCGATGACTTCGACGTGCACAGCGAGATTCGCTTGACGCACGAGGCGCAAGCATGTCCAGCGACGCGTAGCTTATGATGCACCAGCGTTGGACAACCTGTAGTCATCACGACGTAAGTGTGTTCCAATGTGATCGGCGCTTGACCTTCATTTAGGATTAATCCTCGTGTTGAAGATGACGCCAGGATCCTTGTCGTCATCACATCCACGCATGTTCGTCCGTACGTCGCCAAGGTGTGCCCGGAGAAAACATCTAGGAGCTTCACGCGTAGGACATGAGGTAGGGCACTGCCGCGTTGCGTGATGCGAGCGCATTTTCTACCACAGAAACAATTGACGATGCGCCGCCACCTTGTCCGAGTGTTGTCGAGTGTCCGCCGGACACTAGTGTGATGTTATCCAGCATACCACATTACCATGCGAGCAAGGTTGCCATCTCCATCAATGTCATGGCCGTCACTTGATTAGCGCTTCTGCCACTCGACTTCATCTGCATGGCTCTGCCGGGCTACACTAAGGACACGGGCAGCGCCTTGCAAGCGCTGAGCATGGCTGCCGAGCGTGGGCTATCTGGAGCTCCAGAAAGCTCATTGTGACAACGGTCCATTTTTGGAATGCATGTCGTCGGATCGGCTCCTGTCCTAATTAGGACCCATGGCGGTACCTGTCCCGCCGACGCATTCGCCAAATCCCTTTTGGATGCGCATGACCCGCCCTCGCCACCACGTGCGCACGCTGCTGTATAAGAACGCGCTGCTCAAGAGGCGCCACCCGATCCGCCTCATCTTTGAGCTCGTGCTGCCCGTCGTCTTCATCGTGATCCTTGGCATCTTGAAGGGGCAGGCCGCTGACATCACCGTGCCGAGCGGCTGGTCGGACAACATGGAGTCGACGTTCTCGTCGTCGGCCTCCGTCGCGCCGACGTACTCGGTCTACCTAGGCTACCCGGCCACGTCGCCGGCGCCGGCCAAGTTTGCTGCGACCGAGGCCACCATCTCGGGTCTTCTATTGCGGCTGAGCGCCATGTCACTCGCCGAGGGCCGAGGCCTCGACGATCTCTCGGCTTCGGACCGCCAGACCTGCTCGTCGCTCTTCCTCTTTAATGGCGATGTGAGCATCGATTCGACGTCCCCGCACGCCGTGCCGACAGCCTGCGCCGGCAAGGTCGTACCGTACAAGCTCGCGATTGTGCCCGACACGACGTACACACGGGCGTACTTTGCGGCTGCCGTCCACGCATGGTACCCGCGCGTGCCGCTGACCAACGCCTCGCGCAGCCTCACGATCCCGAGCCTCCTCGACGCCATAGCCTTTTACCCTGACGAGGCAGCGCTCGACGACTACGTCTCAGGTACGGACAATGCGCGATTGCATATAT